AATCTACACTTACAGCTGTTTTCAAGTATACAATGCTTAGTTATTAACTATAGTTGTCATGCTGTTCAGTAGATCTCTAGAACTATTCCTATCTGAAATTTTGTATTGTTTGACTAACATCTCCCGAGTCCCTCCACGGCCCCTGCCTCTGGTAACCACCTTTCTGCTCTCTACAAGCATGAGTTCAATTTTGTTAGATTCCACGTAGAAGTGAGATCATGCAGCATTTGTCTTTCTGTCTTTGCTCTTTACAACTTTGTCACGTATTTATTCACCTTTCCAGAGGGGGTCTCACTCTGTCACCCTGGCTGGAGTACAGTGACACAAACACGGCTCACCATGGCCTCCACCTCCCGCGGTCAAGAGATCCTCCCACTTCAGCCTCCTGAGTAGCTAATACCACAGGCGTCCACACCACACCTGGCTAATTGTTGTATTTTTTCTAGAGATGGGCTTCCTCCATGTTGCCCAGGTTGATCGCCAACTCCTGGGCTCAAGTGCTCCACATGTCTTGGCATGCCAAAGAACCGGGATTAGAGGCATGAGCCACCGTGCCCGGCCTCGGCTTTATTTCACTCAGTATAACATCGTCTAGGCTCATTCATGTTACAAATGACATGTTCACCTTCCTTTTTTTTAAATAGCATTCTATTGGATGTGTATGTTTTTTTTTGTTTTGTTTTTTTTGACAGAGTTTCCCTCCCGTCGCCCGGACAGGAGTGCAGTGGCATGATGTTGGCTCACTACATCCTCTGCCTCCCGGGTGCAAGCTGATCTGGGCACAATGGTGTTCATAGGCACTGCAGGATTCATCTTCAACATCTTCTCATCTCTTCTTAAAACAAGCTGTACCTTCGTCAACAGCTGATTTCTTCGGGGGACTCTCCTTATAAGCTTTACATAAAACATCAATGAATTCTTCATTCCTCCACCCAAGCTTCACCGTAAATTTGATGTTTGTTTTTGCTGCCATTTTAGCGGAATTCGTGTTGCTCTGATAGGAGGCCTTTTCAGTGGGTGTCTCATCCTTCTTAGTGCCTCAGAGTGGATCTGGTCCAGAAAGGTTATAACAAGTTAGTATAAGTTTGTTTTAGTGTAAAACAACTGAAATCCATGCAGAGATTTTTCACAACGTCCATTTTCTGTGAACCTTTTGAAGACCCCCTGTGTTAAACGTTGGCCAGGTCCTTGGAGAGAAGTGGATGCCGTCCACTTCCTGTCCTCAAATTGCCCACAGTGCAGGAGTGCACAGAGCAGGGAAAGGCCACCCCAGAGAGGTCCTGCCCTCCAGCGTGCAGCAGACTGCCGGCCCAATCCTGACTCCCTGGTGTGCTGTGTGGGCCAGAGCAAGTTGATGAACCTCCCTGAAGCTCAGTTTACTCCTATGTAGCTCAGAACCAGTAGCCATGATAGGACTGCTTGGCAGGGACGGTTAATTAACTCAGGAAAAGCAACCTAGCTCCAAGGGTAGCAACCAGGAGTTCCAGTTGATTCCATCCGCAGACCCTCTGAGGCGTTCCCAAGCTGCGGTGTGGTGGAATATTAATTGGGTTTAGAGTGATTGGATTGAAGTGCCAATCTAATCAAGGAGAAGTCCCGCCCAAAGGGCAAAAAGCCAAGACTAACCCCGACCCCGACTCCCAGTCCCCCGGAGTACCTACCGCGGCCCCTCGCGACTGCCCCCATCCCTCTGCCCCTCCCAGACCTCTATCCTTCCACCAATCGCCTCCCCCAGCCCCGAGCCCCCACTCCCAGGCCCCCGAGTCCCTGCCGCGGTCCCTCGCGCCTGGCCCCATCCCTCTGCCCCTCCCAGACCTCTGTCCTTCTTCCACCGCTAGCCTCCCTCAGCCCACCTGGACTTCCATGATCTCTGAGAACAAAGCCAGCCCCCTGGCCCCCCAGCCTCCTGCCAGTCTTCCCTCCTGGGCGTCTTCCTCTTCTCTGGGGCTTTCGGAACCTCCCCTCCCCCACCCGAGCTTTCCCCCACCCCCAGGGGCAGGCACAGAATCAATGTCTCTAGGAATTTCAAATGTAAAAATAAAAGAATTTAAAAACAACGGAAAGGCATTTGCTCCTCCATGTGCGCTTACCTGTTTTTCTGTAGAGGCACCACGCTGAGGTGGGTGAAGCACTTGGGCTCTGGAATTACACATCTGGCTTCAAATTCAACTTACACCACTTACTGGCTTTGTCATATTCGACAAAAGACGTCTTTGTGCGTCTACGTTTTTTCTTTAATGTGTGATCATAATTGTCACGGTGAGGAATGAATGAAGCAACACATGGCAAGCCTTGAAACAATCGCACATAGTAGGTACTCCATTCATGTTAACTCTGTTTCCTTCTTATAATAGCTTATAATGGGAATTCGTGAACACTGTATCATTAATCCTTGGAACAACCCAATGGGTAGGTAAATAAAGCTTAATTTTATACCTCAAGAAACCATGCGTCTTCACCTGCGCCAAATGCTCATGATTGTAAGGAGCACTGGTGGTTCGTTTATTATGTACTTGGTACTTTGCACCTATTAACCCAGTTAGTCCTCTTAATAGTTGTGAGAGGAATAGCGTTCTTATCCCCATTTTACAGATGAGGAAACTGAAGCACAAGTGTTAAGCAGTTTATCCGAGGTATCCTAGCTACAAGACAGGTGCAGTCAGCCTGGCTGCAGAGCCCTTGCTCTGTCCGCTGCACTACCTGACTTCCCAGGAGTATGTATGGTGAGAGTCAAAGTGGATTCTTCCACACAACCAACCAATTACAATGTCTGAATCAGTCAGGCGACTTCCAACTGGGCTCCAGGAGAGAAGGAATCATCACACCTCTCTAAATCCATGTTCCCATTTTGAATCTTCAATGAGAGACGAGACACTAAGTAGCTAGTTTTGGTGGAGTGGCTGATTTTACACGTGTTTGTGTGTGTGTGTGTGTGTGCGTGCGTGCGTGCGTGCGTGTGTGTGTGTGTGTGTGTCTGTGTACCTCACTAAAGTAAACTGATAGTTTGAATGCTTACAGTACCATTAATTTAATTTGTATATGTGAGCCCCCACACACCTATATACAAACACACCCTGTTCCAGAACAATGACTTAGTGAAGAACTGGATTTCCACTCTGTCACACAAACTGAGGAAAGCACTGAAGTAGGGCATTTCTGATTGATTTTACCGTTGCTGGAATTTTCTTTTCCTTTATAACATAGACTCCTTCTTTGGAGATTTCAAAAATAAAATATTTTTTTTTATTGTATGTTATTTCTTTTAATTTTCATAATTTATTTAAACTTAATTTTAAGTTGAAAATAAAAATTATATATGTTCATGGCATTCAACGTGAGGTTTCATATATGTATACATTGTGGAATGACAAAATGGAGCTAATTAGCATACTCATTTCCTCACATACATATTTCATTGTGATGAGAACATGTTTACAATCTACACTTACAGCTGTTTTCAAGTATACAATGCTTAGTTATTAACTATAGTTGTCATGCTGTTCAGTAGATCTCTAGAACTATTCCTATCTGAAATTTTGTATTGTTTGACTAACATCTCCCGAGTCCCTCCACGGCCCCTGCCTCTGGTAACCACCTTTCTGCTCTCTACAAGCATGAGTTCAATTTTGTTAGATTCCACGTAGAAGTGAGATCATGCAGCATTTGTCTTTCTGTCTTTGCTCTTTACAACTTTGTCACGTATTTATTCACCTTTCCAGAGGGGGTCTCACTCTGTCACCCTGGCTGGAGTACAGTGACACAAACACGGCTCACCATGGCCTCCACCTCCCGCGGTCAAGAGATCCTCCCACTTCAGCCTCCTGAGTAGCTAATACCACAGGCGTCCACACCACACCTGGCTAATTGTTGTATTTTTTCTAGAGATGGGCTTCCTCCATGTTGCCCAGGTTGATCGCCAACTCCTGGGCTCAAGTGCTCCACATGTCTTGGCATGCCAAAGAACCGGGATTAGAGGCATGAGCCACCGTGCCCGGCCTCGGCTTTATTTCACTCAGTATAACATCGTCTAGGCTCATTCATGTTACAAATGACATGTTCACCTTCCTTTTTTTTAAATAGCATTCTATTGGATGTGTATGTTTTTTTTTGTTTTGTTTTTTTTGACAGAGTTTCCCTCCCGTCGCCCGGACAGGAGTGCAGTGGCATGATGTTGGCTCACTACATCCTCTGCCTCCCGGGTGCAAGCTGATCTGGGCACAATGGTGTTCATAGGCACTGCAGGATTCATCTTCAACATCTTCTCATCTCTTCTTAAAACAAGCTGTACCTTCGTCAACAGCTGATTTCTTCGGGGGACTCTCCTTATAAGCTTTACATAAAACATCAATGAATTCTTCATTCCTCCACCCAAGCTTCACCGTAAATTTGATGTTTGTTTTTGCTGCCATTTTAGCGGAATTCGTGTTGCTCTGATAGGAGCCTTTTCAGTGGGTGTCTCATCCTTCTTAGTGCCTCAGAGTGGATCTGGTCCAGAAAGGTTATAACAAGTTAGTATAAGTTTTAGTGTAAAACAACTGAAATCCATGCAGAGATTTTTCACAATGTCCATTTTCTGTGAACCTTTTGAAGACCCCCTGTGTTGAACGTTGGCCATGTCCTTGGAGAGAAGTGGATGCCGTCCACTTCCTGTCCTCAAATTGCCCACAGTGCAGGAGTGCACAGAGCAGGGAAAGGCCACCCCAGCGAGGTCCTGCCCTCCAACGTGCAGCAGACTGCCGGCCCAATCCTGACTCCCTGGTGTGCTGTGTGGGCCAGAGCAAGTTGACGAACCTCCCTGAAGCTCAGTTTACTCCTATGTAGCTCAGAACCAGTAGCCATGATAGGACTGCTTGGCAGGGACGGTTAATTAACTCAGGAAAAGCAACCTAGCCTCAAGGGTAGCAACCAGGAGTTCCAGTTGATTCCATCCGCAGACCCTCTGAGGCGTTCCCACGCTGCGGTGTGGCGGAAAATTAATTGGGTTTAGTGTGATTGGATTGAAGTGCCAATCTAATCAAGGGGAAGTCCCGCCCACTCTGCCCTGTGCCTATATAAAGGCGAGGCGCGGCGGCCGCGGCACTCACTGAAGCCCGCGAGTCCGCAGAGCAGCAGAGCCAGGCCAGTGCTCCAGAAGGCAGCAAGATGTTGAGAGCCACAGCTCCTTGCTGGTTCCCACCCGGATATCCAGAAGCTAAGAAGGTGGCCGAGGAGCTGGCCCTCGAGGCTCTAGAGCTCCCACTGCCCTCTCATCAGCCTGCCCGGAACTTCGGGCTCTGGGTGCCCCAGATGTACAACCAGGCCTCAGCGCTTGTGGGGATCCAGGCGGAGCCTCAGAATAGCGGTCCGGCCGTGGCCCCAGAGTGGCCCAAGATGGTGACGGAGGCGTGGTACTTCCCTGCGCAGAGGGCATCGGCCTGCCAGCCGCCAGCCGCCCCAAGGCTGACAGAGAGGCCCCCCGCAGTCCGCATCTCAGCCCCCAGGGAGAGGAAGAGGATCGCCCACTTTCCCAGCCCTTGCTTGGACACAGGTCCCACAGATGCCAAGAGAACCCTGGCGGCCAGCAGCCACCAACGCTCCGATGGCTCCAAGGTCGGCACACAGCCATGGAAGACGCACAACAGGTCAGGGATGGCATACAGGACCTCCACCACCGACAGCTCTAAGCGAATCGCCCATCGTCCATCCTTACGGAGTCTGAAGAAACCCATCCTCCTCCGAAAGTCTGGGTGCCGAGTCCCCACCGTCATCCGCCGAGGCTATCTCCAACTGCTCACCAAAGAGTGTCTCCAGTTCTGCGCCTCCGAGCAGGAGGCGAAGGAGAAGGCGCTGAACGAGGAGAAGGTGGCCCACGACCGCAGCCCCAACAAGAACGTCTACCTGAATGTGGTGCTGAACGCCCTCAAGAGACTGAAGGGCCTGACCCCCAGCTCCATGCCCGGCCTCAGCAGGACCGCTCTGTACAGCCGCCTCCAGGACTTCCTGCTCACTCGGGAGCAGCTCAAGGAGAACGGCTACCCCTTCCCGCACCCCGAGCGGCCCGGAGGCGCCGTCCTCTTCACTGCCCAGGGGAAGGGGCCAGGCGACTCCTCCCGCAGGGTCTGCTGCCGCTGTGGCACCGAGTACCTGGTGTCCCCTTCGGGCCGCTGTGTACGCGACCAGGTGTGTTACTACCACTGGGGGAGGGTCCGCTCCAGCCAAGTGGCCGGAGGCCGGCTTACCCAGTACACCTGCTGTGCAGCCGCTCCTGGCTCCGTGGGCTGCCAGGTGGCAAAGCAGCACGTGCGGGACGGCCGCAAGGAGAGCCTGGATGGCTTCGTGAAGACCTTCAAGAAAGAGTTTTCCAGAGACGCTTATCCCGGAATCTACGCCTTGGACTGTGAGATGTGCTACACCACGCACGGCCTAGAGCTGACCCGTGTCACCGTGGTGGACGCCGACATGCGGGTGGTGTACGACACCTTCGTCAAGCCCGACAACGAGATCGTGGACTACAACACCAGGTTTTCCGGCGTGACCGAGGCCGACGTCGCCCAGACCAGCATCACGTTGCCGAAAGTCCAAGCCATCCTGCTGAGCTTTTTCAGCGCCCAAACCATCCTCATCGGGCACAGCCTGGAGAGCGACCTGCTGGCCCTGAAGCTGATCCACAGCACCGTGGTGGACACGGCGGTGCTCTTCCCGCACTACCGGGGTTTCCCCTACAAGCGCTCCCTAAGGAATCTCACGGCCGACTACCTCGGACAGATCATCCAGGACAGCCAGGACGGGCACGACTCCTGCCAGGACGCAAACGCCTGCCTGCAGCTGGTGATGTGGAAAGTCCGAGAGCGCGCCGGGATCCAGCGAGGCCACCCGTCCGCCTCTCCCGCCGCCCTGGCCTGTCCTCAGACCCAGGCCTCTTCCACAACTGCGATCGCTCCCGAGAGCTAACCCAGTCCACCTGGCCGCAAAGCGACAGAAACCGAAGCAGCCGGTTTTGCAGGAGAGGGCAAAAAGCCAAGACTAACCCCGACCCCGACTTCCAGTCCCCCGGAGTCCCTGCCGCGGCCCCTCGCGACTGTCCCCATCCCTCTGCCCCTCCGAGACCTCTATCCTTCCACCAATCGCCTCCCCCAGCCCCGAGCCCCCACTCCCAGGCCCCCGAGTCCCTGCCGCGGTCCCTCGCGCCTGGTCCCATCCCTCTGCCCCTCCCAGACCTCTGTCCTTCTTCCCCCGTAGCCTCCCTCAGCCCACCTGGACTTCCATGATCTCTGAGAACAAAGCCAGCCCCCTGGCCCCCCAGCCTCCTGCCAGTCTTCCCTCCTGGGCGTCTTCCTCTTCTCTGGGGCTTTCGGAACCTCCCCTCCCCCACCCGAGCTTTCCCCCACCCCCGGGGGCTGGCAAAGAATCAATGTCTCTAGGAATTTCAAAAAATAATAGAATTTAAAAACAACGGAAAGGCATTTGCTCCTCCATGTGCCCTTACCTATTTTTCTGTAGAGGCACCACGCTGAGGTGGGTGAAGCACTTGGGCTCTCGAATTACACATCTGGCTTCAAATTCAACTTCCACCACTTACTGGCTTTGTCATATTGGACAAAGGACGTTTTTGTGCTTCTACGTATTTATCTTTAAAGCGTGATCATAAGGTCACGATAAGGCATGAATGAAGCAACACATGGCAGGCCTTGAAACAATCGCACATAGTAGGTATTCGATTCATGTTAACTATGTTTCCTTCTTAAAATGGCTTACATTGGGAAATCGTGAACACTGTATCATTAACCCTTGGAACAACCCAATGGGTAGGTAAATAAAGCTTAATTTTATACCTCAAGAAACCATGCGTCTTCACCTGCGCCAAATGCTCATGATTGTAAGGAGCACTGGTGGTTCGTTTATTATGTACTTGGTACTTTGCACCTATTAACCCAGTTAGTCCTCATAATAGTTGTGAGAGAGATAGCGTTTTATCCCCATTTTACAGATGAGGAAACTGAAGCACAAGTGTTAAGCAGTTTATCTGAGGTATCCTAGCTACAAGTCAGGTGCAGTCAGCCTGGCTGCAGAGCCCTTGCTCTGTCCGCTGCACTACCTGACTTCCCAGGAGTATGTATGGTGAGAGTCAAAGTGGATTCTTCCACACAACCAACCAATTACAATGTCTGAATCAGTCAGGCGACTTCCAACTGGGCTCCAGGAGAGAAGGAATCATCACGCCTGTCTAAATCCATGTTCCCATTTTGAATCTTCAATGAGAGATGAGACGCTAAGTAGCTAGTTTTGGTGGAGTGGCTGATTTTACACGTGTTTGTGTGTGTGTGTGCGTGCGTGTGTGTGTGTGTGTGTATGTGCACCTCACTAAAGTAAACTGATAGTTTGAATGCTTACAGTACCATTAATTTAATTTGTATATGTGAGCCCCACACACCTATATACAAACACACCCTGATCCAGAACAATGACTTAGTGAAGAACGGGATTTCCACTCTGTCACACAAATTCAGGAAAGCACTGAAGTAGGGCATTTCTGATTGATTTTACCATTGCTGGAATTTTCCTTTACAACATAGACTCCTTCTGTGGAGATTCCATAAATAAAGTCTTTTTTTTTTATTGTGCGATATTTCTTTTAATTTTCATAATTTATTTAAATTTTAAATTTTAATTTTAAGTTGAAAATAAAAATTATATGTTCATGTCGTTCAACATGAGGTTTCATATATGTATACGTTGTGGAATGACAAAATGGAGCTAATTAGCATACTCATTTCCTCACATACATATTTCATTGTGATGAGAACATGTTTACAATCTACACTTACAGCTGTTTTCAAGTATACAATGCTTAGTTATTAACTATAGTTATCATGCTGTTCAGTAGATCTCTAGAACTATTCCTATCTGAAACTTTATATTGTTTGACTAACATCTCCCCCATCCCTCCTGGGCCCCTGCCTCGGGTAACCACCATTCTGCTCTCTACAACCATGAGTTCAATTTTGTTAGATTCCACGTAGAAGTGAGATCATGCAGCATTTGTCTTTCTGTGCTTGCTCTTTACAACTTTGTCACGTATTTATTCATCTTTCCAGACAAGGTCTCACTCTGTCACCCTGGCTGGAGTACAGTGACACAAACACGGCTCACCATGGCCTCCACCTCCCGCGGTCAAGAGATCCTCCCACTTCAGCCTCCTGAGTAGCTAATACCACAGGCGTCCACACCACACCTGGCTAATTGTTGTATTTTTTCTAGAGATGGGCTTCCTCCATGTTGCCCAGGTTGATCGCCAACTCCTGGGCTCAAGTGCTCCACCTGTCTTGGCATGCCAAAGAACCGGGATTAGAGGCATGAGCCACCGTGCCCGGCCTCGGCTTTATTTCACTCAGTATAACATCGTCTAGGCTCATTCATGTTACAAATGACATGTTTCCCTTCTTTTTTTTTAAATAGCATTCTATTGGATGTGTATGTCTTTTTTTTTTTTTTTTTTTTTTTTTTTTTTTTTGACAGAGTTTCCCTCCCGTCGCCCGGACAGGAGTGCAGTGGCATGATGTTGGCTCACTACATCCTCTGCCTCCCAGGTGCAAGCTGATCTGGGCACAATGGTGTTCATAGGCACTGCAGGATTCATCTTCAACATCTTCTCATCTCTTCTTAAAACAAGCTGTACCTTCGTCAACAGCTGATTTCTTCGGGGGACTCTCCTTATAAGCTTTACATAAAACATCAATGAATTCTTCATTCCTCCACCCAAGCTTCACCGTAAATTTGATGTTTGTTTTTGCTGCCATTTTAGCGGAATTCGTGTTGCTCTGATAGGAGGCCTTTTCAGTGGGTGTCTCATCCTTCTTAGTGCCTCAGAGTGGATCTGGTTCAGAAAGGTTATAACAAGTTAGTATAAGTTTGTTTTAGTGTAAAACAACTGAAATCCATGCAGAGATTTTTCACAACGTCCATTTTCTGTGAACCTTTTGAAGACCCCCTGTGTTAAACGTTGGCCAGGTCCTTGGAGAGAAGTGGATGCCGTCCACTTCCTGTCCTCAAATTGCCCACAGTGCAGGAGTGCACAGAGCAGGGAAAGGCCACCCCAGAGAGGTCCTGCCCTCCAGCGTGCAGCAGACTGCCGGCCCAATCCTGACTCCCTGGTGTGCTGTGTGGGCCAGAGCAAGTTGATGAACCTCCCTGAAGCTCAGTTTACTCCTATGTAGCTCAGAACCAGTAGCCATGATAGGACTGCTTGGCAGGGACGGTTAATTAACTCAGGAAAAGCAACCTAGCTCCAAGGGTAGCAACCAGGAGTTCCAGTTGATTCCATCCGCAGACCCTCTGAGGCGTTCCCAAGCTGCGGTGTGGTGGAATATTAATTGGGTTTAGAGTGATTGGATTGAAGTGCCAATCTAATCAAGGAGAAGTCCCGCCCAAAGGGCAAAAAGCCAAGACTAACCCCGACCCCGACTCCCAGTCCCCCGGAGTACCTACCGCGGCCCCTCGCGACTGCCCCCATCCCTCTGCCCCTCCCAGACCTCTATCCTTCCACCAATCGCCTCCCCCAGCCCCGAGCCCCCACTCCCAGGCCCCCGAGTCCCTGCCGCGGTCCCTCGCGCCTGGCCCCATCCCTCTGCCCCTCCCAGACCTCTGTCCTTCTTCCACCGCTAGCCTCCCTCAGCCCACCTGGACTTCCATGATCTCTGAGAACAAAGCCAGCCCCCTGGCCCCCCAGCCTCCTGCCAGTCTTCCCTCCTGGGCGTCTTCCTCTTCTCTGGGGCTTTCGGAACCTCCCCTCCCCCACCCGAGCTTTCCCCCACCCCCAGGGGCAGGCACAGAATCAATGTCTCTAGGAATTTCAAATGTAAAAATAAAAGAATTTAAAAACAACGGAAAGGCATTTGCTCCTCCATGTGCGCTTACCTGTTTTTCTGTAGAGGCACCACGCTGAGGTGGGTGAAGCACTTGGGCTCTGGAATTACACATCTGGCTTCAAATTCAACTTACACCACTTACTGGCTTTGTCATATTCGACAAAAGACGTCTTTGTGCGTCTACGTTTTTTCTTTAATGTGTGATCATAATTGTCACGGTGAGGAATGAATGAAGCAACACATGGCAAGCCTTGAAACAATCGCACATAGTAGGTACTCCATTCATGTTAACTCTGTTTCCTTCTTATAATAGCTTATAATGGGAATTCGTGAACACTGTATCATTAATCCTTGGAACAACCCAATGGGTAGGTAAATAAAGCTTAATTTTATACCTCAAGAAACCATGCGTCTTCACCTGCGCCAAATGCTCATGATTGTAAGGAGCACTGGTGGTTCGTTTATTATGTACTTGGTACTTTGCACCTATTAACCCAGTTAGTCCTCTTAATAGTTGTGAGAGGAATAGCGTTCTTATCCCCATTTTACAGATGAGGAAACTGAAGCACAAGTGTTAAGCAGTTTATCCGAGGTATCCTAGCTACAAGACAGGTGCAGTCAGCCTGGCTGCAGAGCCCTTGCTCTGTCCGCTGCACTACCTGACTTCCCAGGAGTATGTATGGTGAGAGTCAAAGTGGATTCTTCCACACAACCAACCAATTACAATGTCTGAATCAGTCAGGCGACTTCCAACTGGGCTCCAGGAGAGAAGGAATCATCACACCTCTCTAAATCCATGTTCCCATTTTGAATCTTCAATGAGAGACGAGACACTAAGTAGCTAGTTTTGGTGGAGTGGCTGATTTTACACGTGTTTGTGTGTGTGTGTGTGTGTGCGTGCGTGCGTGCGTGCGTGTGTGTGTGTGTGTGTGTCTGTGTACCTCACTAAAGTAAACTGATAGTTTGAATGCTTACAGTACCATTAATTTAATTTGTATATGTGAGCCCCCACACACCTATATACAAACACACCCTGTTCCAGAACAATGACTTAGTGAAGAACTGGATTTCCACTCTGTCACACAAACTGAGGAAAGCACTGAAGTAGGGCATTTCTGATTGATTTTACCGTTGCTGGAATTTTCTTTTCCTTTATAACATAGACTCCTTCTTTGGAGATTTCAAAAATAAAATATTTTTTTTTATTGTATGTTATTTCTTTTAATTTTCATAATTTATTTAAACTTAATTTTAAGTTGAAAATAAAAATTATATATGTTCATGGCATTCAACGTGAGGTTTCATATATGTATACATTGTGGAATGACAAAATGGAGCTAATTAGCATACTCATTTCCTCACATACATATTTCATTGTGATGAGAACATGTTTACAATCTACACTTACAGCTGTTTTCAAGTATACAATGCTTAGTTATTAACTATAGTTGTCATGCTGTTCAGTAGATCTCTAGAACTATTCCTATCTGAAATTTTGTATTGTTTG